GCACTTTGTGAAGAAAGGTATCTTCTTAGCACATAAGCATTATTCCTTAGAAACAGAAGATAAATGTGATATAATTAATCACAGGGTCCTGCTAAAGGCTTGGTCAATGTTGATTGGTTTGTTTTACAATACATTGATTGTCTAAGACTAAGTAAGTAATCGTAAAATCTTCAGAATAGATTGGCGTTCCCTAAACATAGCTAAAAAGGAGCCCCATTAACCCTTGATTCCAAAGTAAGTACAAAAAGGGACCCAGTCTATGACAATAACAATGTTTGAGTAAACACACATCCAAGTGAAGGCACTTGCCTGTGCCGCTGTTAGAGAGAAGAAGATAGAGAGAGCAGGGAGAAACAAGATTAAGGAAAAAATTAGGGTTTGGGAGTGAGGTGGGGGTGGATGGGGGTATGTTGATTAATTCAATTTTATAATATTATTTTAATACTAAAAAATAAAATTATGACCTAATTTTTTAACAAAAAACTTTTAAATCTGATTTTTTGAATTGAAAAATGTAAAAACATGTGTGGGTATAATTTCCACATTATTTTATCACTATGTTTTCTAAATTTACACTTTACATATTATATTTTAAGTAAGACTGATACTTTTTCATTGGATTAATTTTTTTCTCTTTATTATTTTCATTGGATTAGGATTAAATTTGAAAACTGATATGGTGTATTTATTTTAAAAAATAAATTTGAATGTGATTATAATATGGTGTAAGAAACAAAATTTGCTGTGACAATTTATTTGAGAATCTCAAATTCTTTTACACGATTTTACCACCTAATATGTTTAATTTATGTAGAATACTTAAAATACTTTTCTATTGTTTGTCAAAGGAATTCATGCAAATGGTAAACAATTTAAAAAAAAAAAAAAATCCCTTTACCGAACGCTTCTTAATGCGATTGTTTATTAACAAGTTGGCAACTAAACTTCAATGAATTCTGAAACAGGGTTTGTACAACTAATTATTTTTTTTTTGGTTTTTTCCCCCAGTTCAATACCAAATTTAACCATATTTTTTGCTAGCACATTCTGTAACTCTAGTGTTCTAGTTTCCAATGAAGCACATAGCCATTAATCAACATTACGAAGGTCCCATTAGTGGAAATGGGCCAACATTTCTTCCATTGGCAAATACGAAGTGCAAATTGGTGAAATTTGACTCGTATTTCTTCTTTGACTCTACTTGATAAGGCATTGACCAAGCCACAACCTTGTCGTAGAACATTGTCTTCATGTAGCAAGATTGATATTGCCAATGAAAATACTATCTTGAGCAGGAAAATCACTCACATTTTCACTGGAAATGACTTTTGTTACCCCACGCTAAGCAGCAGTCAGGGACATTACACCTCAATCCACAAATGTTTGTGATTATCTTTTCTACATTTTTTGCACATCTAGCAATCCACCGTTATAGGCAAAAATATAGACACACAAACACGTACACACCAGAGTTTTGTAACGATAGCTATTAGCTGTTATATTATGCAATGAAAAGATCGTCAATGGAATTACAGAACCATCTGGTACAATTCTCCATTAATGATTTTTATTTTATACTGTGTACAAACTCTTGCGGAACCTTAGCGCACACAAAAGGAACAAATACAATTTGCAAAAGTGGAATGTTCATAGTACAAGAGGGAAAAAAAATACAATTACAGAAAAAGCCTAACCACAGAAACAAGATCATTGGGCGCCATCCTCATCCTCTGGCTGACTAGATTCTCCTTGTTCTGGTTCTGGTTCTAGTTCTGGTTCTGGCCCCTCTTGCTGACCATTTAGAGGGCCATTTTCATCTCCTTGTTCTAGTACTGGTTCTGGATCCTTGTATTTGTAAATACAAGCAATTAAAATAAACACAAGTAGATTTACAGAACTCAAGGCTGCAAGCACCCAGTAATATCTATCTAGTCTACTCTTGTTCAGCGTATTCTGGAACCAGTTTTGTCTACCTCCCTTCTCACTAATTTTACCAACCACATAAACCGAAAGCACACTCCCTATGAATCCTAGACCAGATACTCCACTACTTGAGTATTGGAGGTAATTTATCATTGATTCGGGAGCCTGATCCTTAAAGAAACCTTTTGAGCTCTTTTCGAAAAAAGAGTCCAGGCCAGCAAGAAGAAAAAACTGGAAAAGGAGCCAAAATATACTCATTGGGATATCGTCCTCAGGTTTGTCGAGTAAATCGTGTCTTCTAATCACTTTCAGCCTTCGAATCTCTATTCTGGCAGAAGTAATGCAACAGAGTACTGAGAATACCATAGCCACTGCAATTCCAACAGGAGGTGCACACTTTTTACACCCAGCAAAGCAGCTTGCCAAACAGGTGTAAGATTTGTAAAACAGTGATTTTGCACAGTTAAAGAGCAGTAGAAGCATAGGAAGAGGAATTGTCCATTTTCCAAGCTTACGATCCAAGTGATTTGCTTGTTCTAGGAAGTACGTGTTTCCAATAGAAGATACCATCCCACAAACTATGAATGTCATCCACATTGGAACCATCCGAACAACAATTTTCGCTTCTTCTACTTCTGCAACTGTGCAAAGCCTCCACCTATTCTTTTCTTGTTCTTCTAGACTTTTATCAGGCAATATGATGGCAGCCTTCTCTAGACGCCTGTGTTAAAGCAAACAAGAGAATGAGAATATAGTTTAGGAAAAGGAAGGTAAACTAGTTCTTCTAATGTTCCTCATTAAAAAACAAATTCCTTATTTCACTTTTTCAAATGCACCTAATGTAAAGGAAATATACAAGTAAAAACCTGAGAATACGAGTACGGGAAAATGACTGAAGCTCAGGGCCATCTTTCTTATGAAGCTCTTTATCATCAAGAGGAAATGGTTTGGATATCTTAGAAGTACAGGCCACAAAGACTCTGCAAACATTTGTCAATGGACTCCCATCTGGTCCAGATATACTGTAGGAACATGAACCGCTCACAAATAGAAGTGTTGCAACAGTGGTACAGATTGCCGGAATTCCAAAGCGGATTGACCAAGGTTTTATGTAAGGTAGAGCAATAGCTCCAATTATTGGCACAATTGCCACCATAAACATGCCTAATATCTGGAAAAAAACTTTATTGCCATCACCATCGTCAGACTTTGTTCGCTGTTCATCAAGGAAAGGTTTTAGAGAGACGAGGTGTCCAGAGATTCCTACAGCTAACAATGCCAAGGCCGTGTAGAACAAAGCTTTTTGTGTGTAACCTAAACATTTTGGCTCATAGTCTTTGCAGGTGCCCATGGAACTGGCGAGAACTGGTGGTGTTGACATGGAAAGAAACCCCATACCCTGGAAAAAAATTGGGTGAGAACTTCGCTTCAGGCACACAAGGAAATTACTCAACCTAATTAATCTGTCCACTAAAATCCTTCTCTAGATAAAGGGTTTTATTCAATATTTTCTAAAACTTAAATCTCCCGTATACTGAGGCATTAGATATTCTTCATTTCTACGAACATGATTGCAGTCTATGTATATCACAGCTCGAAGAAGCATAAATGTAGCATTTCCCATCTCTTTAGATTTCTCCGTCACTTATTTCCATTCCAAGGCTCGAAAAACATGCATCTTACCACAACTTGAACAAACTTATATCTCTGTTCCTGAATTTGTGACCAAAATAACAATACAAGAGAAAGAAAGAACAGACTATTAAGCTCAAAGATGCCTAAAGTATTAATCTCTTAAGTTCTATGTTGACTCAAAAATTACCTTCAATATCCCCAAATAGATTGGACAATAGGATTGAGCCTACAAAGTTGAGAAGATAGAGGAATTAACTAACCACACTGTAGGCTATACTGGACAGCAGGAGCACTAAGTATTTTCCCAGAAATGCGTCGATGAGGTAGAGAAACCCAATAGGCAATACCATAGTAACTCCATTCCAAATGTTCAAAATTCCAGCAGCATGGGTAAAACTCAGTTTCCATACATCTGTTAAGTATGTTTGCATCACAAACATTGTGTACCCAACCAATATATCAGCCCATAGCAGAACTGCCATTACACAGCAAGAAAGACATTCCACCATATAAATCCATAACCAATTCAATTCGATTCGATCAAATACATAAATAAGCAGAGTATAACATCAACTAATTACCCAAAACTCGTACAAAAGTGGCCATTTCTGAATTAAACGAATCACCCTCGCTTCCTGCAGAGCATTAATCAAAGGGAGAAAACTTCAAAACCCACAAGGAAAATTGAAAACAGAGTAATCCCTGAAGCGGATACTTTATTCCCGATTATTAATAATAAAAAGGAAAAAATAACTTCATTGAAAGTTAGTAACAATAGTAATTTCTGTTCTTACCTTCAAACTTGCCAATGCAGAACTTTCAGACACGCACAAACTCGCTGTCTTTTTATATGCAAATCCATTATCTGTCTTGACTGTCTCCATTGGTGGAAAATAAAATAACTCTCAAGTCTGAACACTAAAATTAATTACTCCCAAATAGGAGTGAAGTTAAAATTTTGTTTTTACGTTGTTCTTTTTGCTCATTTTCAATACCATATTTTTCAATAAAATAATATTTCTATCAAATCAATAACTTTTTTTTTTATTTTTTCAACCACATATCTTCCATCAGTCTACTATTTTAAAATAAATTCTAAACTTTAACAGTTGTGCATTTGTGAGGTTTCTTTGATGGGCTTTATTTAATTTTTTATTTTTTCTTGTGTGAACGGTGATGTTCAAATTCATAATGTTACTGGATAATAGAATTGGCATTGACTTGATTCAAGCAGCCAATAGGAATAAAGTGGAAA